CACCAAAAAACAAGTAGCGTTCTGGTGGACTTAAAATCAATAAGTACGTTAAATACAAATGGACTAAACACACTAATTAAAAGGCTGAGCTTGTCAGACTGCATAAAAAGCAAGACCCAAATATGTTCAGTCTACAAGAGACACACTTTATACATAAAGACACAGAGAAATAGAAATTAACACGTTAGGGCTCCCCTGGTGGCACAGTGGTTGGGAGTCCGCCTGCTGATGCAGGGGACACAGGTTCGTGCCCCGGTCCGGGAAGATCCCACATGCAGCGGAGCGGCTGGGCCCGTGAGCCATGGCCGCTGAGCCTGTGCGTCCGGAGACTTGCACCGCAACGGGAGAGGCCGCAGCAGTGAGAGGCCCGCGTACCGCAAAAAAAAAAAAAAAAGAAATTAACACGTTAGAAAGCTATACCATGCAAGTAGTAAGATAAGAAAACACTGTAACTATATTGCTATTGGACAAAGTAGATTTTAAGAGAAAGATTATTCTGAGAGATAAAGGGGGACTTTCAAGTGGTTAAATAATAAAAAAATACATAAAACCCTTAATGTGTACGTACTTGTATTAGTTTCCTAGCGTTGCCATAATAAAGTACCACAGACTAGGAGACGTAAAACAAAAATTTATTCTCTCACAGTTCTAGAGGCTGGAAGTCTGAAATCAAGGTATCGGAGGGCCACGCTTCCTCTGGAATCTGTAGGAAAGGCTCCTTTCTTGCTTCTTCCTAGCTTATGAGGATTTTCTGGCAATCTTTGGTGTCCCTTGGCTTGCAGCTACAGCAGTTCAATCTCTGCCTTCAGTGTCATCTGAATTTGTCTTCACGTGGCATTTTCCTACATCATGTTGAATTAGGGCCCACCATAATGACCCCATCTTAATTGATTATACCTGCAAAACTGTATGTCTAAATCAGGAGTTAGGACTTCAACATATATTTTGCTGGCTGCCAAAGCATTAGAGCCACCCTATTTTGGGAGGATATAATTCAATGCATAATAGTGCCTAGTAATAAAGCTTCACAATACATGGGGGGAAAAAGGGACAAATACAAAGTGAGAAATAGACAAGTTCATTATCATATTGAAATTAACATCCTGTCAGTCTCAACATATTTCAAAAGACAAACATCTGAGATAGTAGAGCTGACTAAAATGGAATTATATTCGAAATTAATAACAATAAGATATACTGGAAAGCACTAGATAGTGGGAAATGAAGCCATATCTTTATAAGTAATTACAAAGAAGAAATTATAAAGGAAATTAGAAAATATTGGGAATGAAATTGATAATGAAAACACTTATCAAAACTTGTGGAATACAACTAAAACAGTGCTTAGAGGGAGATTTATATTTTTCAACACCTATATTAGACAAGAAGAAGGTTTAACAGTAATGATCTCTGATGTTCCAGCTTAATAAACTTGAAAAAGAAGAGCAAATTAAACCAAAAGCAAACAGAAGGAAATAATAGATATGAGAAGAAATCAATGAAAAAAAGAGCAGACAGAGGAAATTAAAGCCAAGAGCTGGTTCTTTGAAAAAAATTAATAAAATAAGTAATCTATTAGACGGATTAATCAAGAAAAAAGAAAGAAAACACAGATTACTTAAATCAGGAACGAAAGAGGGGTTACTACGACAGTGTCTACTGACATTAAAAGAGTAATATGGGGCTTCCCTGGTGGCGCAGTGGTTGAGAGTCCGCCTGCCGATGCAGCGGATGCGGGTTAGCGCCCCGGTCCGGGAAGATCCCACATGCCGCGGAGCTGCTGGGCCCGTGAGCCATGGCCGCTGAGCCTGCGCGTCCGGAGCCTGAATTCTGCCTCCATAAAAGAAAACTAGCAAAAATTGTCAGGATCAACTTTTTCAGAACTCTGTAAATTAGCAAAAAGCTTGCAACAATTCAGAAAAATGCTTATTCAAAGAAAGTGGTTGAATCTTGGTAAGAAGAGCAAGCTTTGTGGGGTTTTAACTTGACCTTTTCCCATTACCCCCACCCTAGCTCCATGGTAGTCTTAAAAACCAATAGTCTGCAAATAACTCCAAGCCCTTGGAAAACACTGGGAAACGTCTTGGTTTTAGGCACTTAAGGAAATCCTTATCTAGTCATTAGCTGATCATGAAGCTAACCAAGCAGAGAGTTTAGAGAAACACATGATGAAGGATACACACTTTATGGAATTAATTCAGAAGTCACTAAACAAATAACAACAAACAGCCACAACAACAAACCCTAGGAAGGGGGGAATCTGGTGTCCACAGTGCCACATTGTATTACTTTAAATGTCCATGTCCAGCTTTGAACAAAAAATTGATGACAATTGGTGATACATACAAAGAAATAAGAAAACATGGCTCATATAAGAAAAAAAAATTCAACAGAAACTGTTCCTGAGTAGGCAAAGATGTTGGACTTTCTAGACAAATACTTTACAACAGTTATTTTAAATATGTTCTAAGAACATTAGGAAATCATGTCTAAAGAAATAAAGGAAAGCATGAGAATGATGTCTCTTTAAATAGAGTATCAGTAAGGAAATAGAAATTATTATTATTTTTTAAAAAGAACCAAATGGAAATTCTGGAGTTGAAAAGTACAATAACTGAAATGAAAAATTCACTAGAGGGGCTCAACAGCAGATTTGATCAGGCAGAAGAGAGGATTCATGAATCAGGACATAGATCAATTGAGATGATTCAGTCTGTGAATCAGAAAAGAAAAAGAATAAAGAAAAATGAACAGAGGCTCAAACATCTGTGAGACATCAACAAGCTCACCAACGTACACATGATGGGAGTTCCTAAATGAGAGGAGAGGAAGGAGGGCAGAAAGAAAATTGGAAGAAATAACAAAGGAATAAAAAGAGTATATTAGAAAATACTTAACACAGAAGAAGGCAGTAATGGAGAAACTGAAGAGCAAAAAAGATAAATAACATAAAAGTAGGTAGTGAATGGCAGATGTAAATCCTACTTCTTAGTAATTTAATGTAAATGGATTAGATGCTCCAATTAAACGGCAAGACTGGCAGAATGCACAAAAAACATGATCTGACTACATGCTGTCCACAAGAACCACACTTTAGTTTCAAAGACACAAATAGGTTGAAAGTAAAAGGAGACAGCATGCAAATAGTAACCAATAAGAAGATAGACCACATTTGGGTCTCAATAAATTTAAAGGACTGAAATAATACAAAGTATATTCTCTAACCACAGTGGAATGTATTTAGGTAGGTCTTAGTAAATATCTACTGCATAGAATTTGATAAACATAAAGTATGCCCCTCCTAGTGTTCTTCACTGGCTAACCAGCCTTTTTAAACTTCTCTGCCTGGAAGGAGAGTTCTACAAGCCTTCTGGCATGAGTCAGGTCACCCTGCACACAAGAGCTAGGTCAGAGGGGATTTCATAGTGTTCATTTCCTGGAAACTGCTCCCCATGAAGGTGGGGCAGCATTTTATAGTAGGAAATGCTTTGCTTCTGGAATCAGACAGTCTGGATGCCAATAAACCTTAGGCAAGTTATTTAGTTTCTCTAAGTCTCAGTTTTCTCATTTGTACCATGAGATAACTATACCTCAAAGATTTAGTGGGAGAATTAAATGAGGTACTAAACAGATAAATACATAAATCTTAATTTCCTACCCTCCTCATTCTTCTGTCCTCATTCTTCTCATGCAAATAACAACATAATTTGAAAGAGAAGAAATGGGGTAGAGTCCTGGAGGAATAGAATTACTATTATTATATTACTATAGTAATTACTATTACTACAGGAAAAGCGGGAATTAGGATATTAAATAAAGCAATCCTGAGCTAGTATCCCAGTCCTATTTTGTATAAAATACGTGACCCTCATCTGTAAAATGATATAATGACTTCTGTCTTGTAGTGCTTACAAGGATTATAAGAGATTATACGGATATCTATGACTTGTCTAGCACCCAGCAGGTGCCCCATAAATGGTAGTGATCACTATTAGCATTTACCTTGTCCTCCTTTTTGCTGCCCACCCTATCCCCAAAGCAAACTCCAGCTTATTCCTCCCAAAACACTTTCTCTTTGCTCCCCATCCCCTCTCTTGAACACTTCTCCCTTATTGTACACCCACTTTACCTGCACCCAGGCCAGAGCAGGGAGGGAAACAAAGCTAAAAATAAATGAAAGAAAATAAACAATTTTGAGAAAAATGTTTCAAAATTATATTTGTGTGTGTGTGTGCACGGGCAAGTGTGTATGTATGTGTGTGAGAGGAAAACTTTGTTAAACTGGGATGAATCCAGTAAAGTAGAAATGGAAAATAAAATAAAATAAAAAGCATGTTATATCGGCGGCATGGAAAGAAATCACCAAGTTTAAGCCTGAGCGTGTGGGTGTGTGACCATGGGCTCCAGCCTGCAGAGATTGTAAGCCGATACGCCAGCGACCAGGACCAGGGAAGAGAAAGGAAGGAGTTAAAAAAAAAAAAAAAAAAAAAAAAAAAAAAGGCAGTCAGTCGTTTACTGTTCCTGCAGTTATTTTTTTAAGACCCTGTCCTGATAAGACAGCCTTGCTCGCGGGGGCGGTGCGGACAACTGTCCGGATGAGTTCTCCGAAGGAAGGTACCTGCCGCCGGGGCTTCTGTGCAGTAGTCCCCTCACTCCCGGGACCCGGGGTTCACCACGCGAGGCGTCAGTTTCCACATCCGCAGAGTGGCCGCAAGAACCCCCTGGTGGTCGAGACGCTCGTCTGAAACCCCGAGCCCAGCGCCCCGCACCCAACCATCGGAAACCACCGGGGTACGAACGTCGCAACTCTCACGTCAGCAACCCCAGGGGCCCAGCGCGGCCCGCCCCACCCCGCCCCACGCTCCCCGCCTACCCCACGTGACTTCCCGAAAGGCCCGGGGACCGCCCCTCCCGCCGCTCAGTTTCGTTTCCTTGGCGGCCTCCGGGCGATAGTGAAGCAGAAGCAGCCGCGGTTCCAGCGCGTCCCGTCGGGTTCCCCCAGGAGCGCCATGGCGGAGCTGTTCCCCCTGGCCGAGGAGCTGTCGTGCTCCATCTGCCTGGAGCCCTTCAAGGGGCCGGTCACCACGCCCTGCGGCCACAACTTCTGCGGGTCGTGCCTGGAACAGACGTGGGCCGTCCAGGGCCCGCCGTACCTATGCCCGCAGTGCCGCACTGGCTTCCAGACGCGGCCACAGCTGCACAAGAACACGGTGTTGTGTGCGGTGGTGGAGCAGTTCTTGCAGGCCGAGCAGGCCCGTCCCGAGCTCCCCGACGACTGGACGCCGCCCACCCGGGCCCCCGCCCCCAATTCGGCCGGCCAGGTGGCTTGCGACCACTGCCTGCAGGCGACCGCCGTCAAGACGTGCCTGGTGTGCACGGCCTCCTTCTGCCAGGAGCACCTGCGGCCGCATCTCGACAGCCCCGCCTTCCGGGACCACCCGCTGCAGCCGCCCATCCGTGACCTGATGCGTCGCAAGTGCCCCCAGCACAACCGGCTGCGGGACTTCTACTGCCCTGAGCACGGCGAGTGCATCTGCCACGTCTGCGTGGTGGAGCACAAGACCTGCTCGCCTGCGTCCCTGAGTCAGGCCAGCATTGACCTGGAGGTAGGGATTGGCGGACGAGGGCCCAGAGGGGCAGCCTGGGCCTGCTGGGTTGTCCAGAGGGCACCACTGTGGGCATCTTGGCCTACTCGGATCACCTGGGTGCGGGGGATGGGCCTTGCTGGGCCTGAGATCAGGGCAGGGGCATCCCCAGGGTCCAGGTAGAAAGGGGCTGGGAGAACATACAGCCCTTCTGGATCATTCCTGGTCCACCTTCTCTGCCCCTGCCCCTGTCACCCATTATACGGAGGGACGTTGCTTGCCTTAAGCCTAGCACTTGTCTGACATGTTTAGTACAGGGTTTTGAACATCAGATATGAGCGCTAGAGGTTACCTCTGTTCACTCAATAAATCCGGGTAGCACGCAGGAAGTGGTATAATTAGTTATTTACAACTGAGGAAATGGAGGTTCAGAGAAGTTAATTTAACCTGAGCTAACCCAAGTGGCCAAGTGGGCATTGGGCCCCCAGCTGGTCTGACTCCACATTTGCTGTTTCTCCCTATGGACCAGCCTCAAAGCCAAGTCCACAGAGTTCAGAGCATGGGACATTCCTGAGGTCATGTGAGAAAAAGCCTTTGGTGAGCCAGAGACTTCCAGTGACCAGGGAGGACGGTTATGGGTGGGAGGGTGGGCAGAGTCCCAGGAATCCCTGGATAGGATGCACAGCCAAACTCCTGCACCATAGCGCCCTATATACTTCCTGTGCCACTTTAAAGCACAGGACTGGCCCTCATCAGTAAAGTGAGGAGGTGGGACTGGGTGGATTCATTCCTAAGGGGCCTTCTGGGTCTGTGATGATTTCAGTGGTTTGGGGATCATAATTTCCCCGTGTGGACTCCAGGCAGAGGCTGAAAAGGTGTAGTCTAACTACCTTTCATTGTATCAGTCTGAGCTCCAGAGTGAAGCCTGATTTCCTTTCACTCTCGCAGTGCTGTCAGGGAGAACAAGGGCTGTCCTCGTGTCATCAAAGGAGATATGAGGCCTGTGGGAGGTTTGCGGTGGCGCCAGGGCCAGGGTGAAGGCTTTGCTCCCGTCCGAGCATGCCTCCTCCCTGGCCTGGTCTCCTTCTCCAGTCTGAGTTGGGATTCTGTGTACGTCCTCCCTGAGTCACAGAAGTCAGACCGCAGGCAGTGCCTGACAGTTGACTTTGGAGGTACCACCATCTCAGGCCCAGACTACCTGGGTCTCTGCCTGTTGCAGGAAAGAACCTGCCTGGCCTGCGGAGGCTGGAGCCCTGCTCTGCCCCACATCCGCTGTGGTTCAGGGCAAGTCACTGAGTTCTCTGAGCCTTATCTTCATCTGTAAAGTGGGATTAGTAGCATTCCCTCCCCGCCTCCGAGGGTGACCAGGAGGCTCCGGAGGGATGAATTGTGTGGGAAGTGCCTCATAGGCAGGCCCCAGGGTCAGGCTGGTTGATGCGGGCTCTGACCAGAGCTGGATGTTGAGATCTGGGTTTGAATTCTGGCTCTACTTCCTAGCTAGGAACTCAAAAAAAGGGCACAATAATAGTACCTATCTCAGAAGGTTATTGGGAGGATTAAATGAGGTGTTCCATAAATGGCGTTTTACAGTTCGCTGATGCTCCATAGAAGTGCCACTATCATTTCTGTTACTCAGAAATTCCCTGAGGAGAGTTTGCCGCATGGAGGGTGTTAGGCTGCCCAGATCGTCTTTGCCTCAGGATGCATGGCTCTGAGGACTAGGGCAGCCTGGCTCCTATCGAAAGACCCTGCTAGAAGTTCTTATCCAGGAGGCTGAAGGCAAGTAGGGGCAGAAGGACCCATTTCCGCCTGGTCTGGAGCCCCAGCTCCCTCTCAGCCTCCAGGGCCTGGAGCTGGAGTCTGCGCCCAGTTTATTTGTATGCCATACATGCTTGGCTTTTTAATCCTTTGAACAAGGCTTTCCTGCCATCTCTCCCCTTCCCCTCGTTGTCCTGGCTTGCTCAGTCCTTTAACCTGTCTCCTTTTCCAGCCCTGCTGCTGGTCAGTACTGGTGGCAGAGCCAGCCCAGCTTGGCCCGGTCACTGGTGTGGGGTGGACTCAGGACTCTGGTGGTGCCTCCCACGTGGAGGACCCAAGTCCCCAGTCTGTAAAGGGATCCTCAGAACTTCGAAAAGTTCTCTACCCTTGATTAGGGGATTGTCGCTGCTGTCAAAGTCCTTGGGTGGCTTTCCTTTCGTCATCTATAGCCCTGTGGACCCCTGTCTACCATCGGGGGACTGTTGTATGCATTTGATTAATGGTGGGTAAAATCTTTCAAAATATAGGGTTCAGGGGTGTACTACTAAGAGTGAGTCTTGGAGGTGAAACATTTGGCGGCCCCCAGGTATTCTGAGGTCTCTTCCAGCTCTGAGACCTGTGAGGCCAGATCTGCCCGGGCCTGGCCTTCTGCCTTTGGCCCACAGTTCATCTTGGCCACTGTTAGAGACCAGGTCAAAGGGCATTGTCACAGAAGTCACATCTGAAACACTATCAATGACTTGGGCTTTTGGGGTTGAGTTAGTGTGGCCTTGGTCTCTGCTTCTAGCCTTTACATGTGACTCTCTCTGGGTTGTTCAAATCCAGAGTCAAGGTCAGTGGTCAAGGTCAGAGGCAGGGAAGAGGAAGGGAGGGCCAGAGTATTGTTGAGCCAGCTAGTTAGGGGACATACACTTTTTTCTAGAATTTTCTTGTGTGCTCAGTTTGGACACAAGTCTGTAATTGTAACACCAGGATCTTGTAACAGTAGTTAATGGCGATGTGACCTAGGGCAAGCCACTTAATTACTCTGTGCTTCAGTGACCTCATCTGTAAAGGGGGGATAACCCTCTACCTCCTAGTGTTGCTTTTAGCTTTACATAGTTAATACATGGAAAGCATTAGAACAATGCCTGGCTTGGAGTAAGTACATGATAAACACTAGCTGCCATTAGGGTAGTGGTGGTGGTGATTTTCCTACCCATTTCTATGCCCCAGCATTTCACCTGAGTAGGGTGAAATTGGATATTGATTATGAAAATTTATGGCAACACTCAGAGGCGTTGGGTGATATTAGCTTCCACTGTGCATAATTTACCTTTGTATCTGAAGGCTAGGGGCCTAGCAATTCTGAATCACCTTAGTTCAGTTTCAGGGACTGAACTGTCAATGGCTGGTTTACTGCTGGTTTGTCCCTATTCCTAGGGTGTAGCCCTTGGAGGTCCCTGCCTGTGGGGCTTATCAAGTGAGCCTTGGACTCTGATTTTTGTCCACCTGCTGCTCCGAGGCTGACAGAGGCCCTCCCAGCTGTCTTCCGGAACTGGCAGATGGCTCTGGGAGAACAACTCCCGATGCCAGGCTTATCTCTCTGGGTTTCCTTCTTCTGGATCTTAATTACATAATCCTTCCCTGCTTTCTTAGCTCCCCATGGGTTTTTAATAGATCCCCCTCCCCCAATATTTTGTCTGCTTTTCTGGTTGTTTGCAGTGGGAGGCTTGTTTTGTACAACCCCGTCTGCCACTTTCTGAAGCAGCTGTCCCAGCTCGTTCTGTCTGTGTGAGCTTGACCACCTTGCTGTCCTCTTTGCCTCAGTTTCATCATCTGTAAAATGGGTGCTAGTGAAGAAGCGCATAATAATCCAAGCTGAAATTTACTAAGGCCATTTGTCCTGACTAAGATCCAGGCACTATGCTGAGGACTTAACACTGCTTCAGTTAATTCTCCTACTAGCCCCGCGGGGTGGGAACAGTTGCGTTGATATCTATTTCATGGCCAAAGAAACAAGTGAGAGACAGTTGGAGAGCTGGGTATTGAGTCTGGTCTGTCTGGCTCCAAATCCTATCCTTGTAACTTCTTTACTGTCCAGTTCCCCTGACAGGATGAAGGGAGGAAGTAAATATGAGAATGCTTCAAAAAGCTACAAGCAGGGACTTTCCTGGCGGTCCAGTGATTAAGACTTCACCTTTCAGTACAGAGGGTGTGGGTTTAATCCCTGGTCAGGGAGCTAAGATCCCACATGCCTCGTGGCCAAAAAACCAAAACATAGAACAGAAGCAATATTGTAACAAATTCAATTAAGACTTTAAAAATGGTCCACATCAAAAAAAAAACTTAATAAAAAAAAAGCTACAAGCAGGTGAGACTTGGGGTGGTGGAAACGCCTGTGGGATAGACTTGAGGGCAGTCGCTGGTGTTGGGTGCTAGTGGGGGGCTGGATGGGGTATTTTCTCACTCGGTTTGTTTTCTCCGCAGAGCAAGTTGAGGCATAAACTGACTGTCACGTACAGTCAGAGCAACGGGGCGTCAAGAGCACTGGAGGATGTGAGAGCCAGGCAGCAGGACGTGCGGGTGAGTGACAGGGCTCCCCGCCACCAGCCTGGCCCTGGAGCCTCCCTTCACCTCTGGGGAGGAAGGACAAGGCTCGTGTCAGGTTCACTCACAGTGTCAGAATTCAACTTCAATCTTGCAGAACATGCAAAAAGCTATGTGCCCAGAGAGATCCTTCACAGACTCAAAGCCCACCTAACAAGCCCAACCATTAAAAATTAGGGTTAAAATATAGTAATATAAAAAGTGGTTATGATTTAAGGGGGAGAAAAACAGGAAGTAATTTATTTTTTAAAATCTATTTTTTAAAAGTGTATTTGTTTCTAGGGCGACTGTAACAAGTTACTGCAGACTTGGCTTACAACAACAGAAATATGGTCTCCCACCCAGCTCGTTCTGTCTGTGTGAGCTTGACCACCTTGCTGTCCTCTTTGCCTCAGTTTCATCATCTGTAAAATGGGTGCTAGTGAAGAAGCGCATAATAATCCAAGCTGAAATTTACTAAGGCCATTTGTCCTGACTAAGATCCAGGCACTATGCTGAGGACTTAACACTGCTTCAGTTAATTCTCCTACTAGCCCCGCGGGGTGGGAACAGTTGCGTTGATATCTATTTCATGGCCAAAGAAACAAGTGAGAGACAGTTGGAGAGCTGGGTATTGAGTCTGGTCTGTCTGGCTCCAAATCCTATCCTTGTAACTTCTTTACTGTCCAGTTCCCCTGACAGGATGAAGGGAGGAAGTAAATATGAGAATGCTTCAAAAAGCTACAAGCAGGGACTTTCCTGGCGGTCCAGTGATTAAGACTTCACCTTTCAGTACAGAGGGTGTGGGTTTAATCCCTGGTCAGGGAGCTAAGATCCCACATGCCTCGTGGCCAAAAAACCAAAACATAGAACAGAAGCAATATTGTAACAAATTCAATTAAGACTTTAAAAATGGTCCACATCAAAAAAAAAACTTAATAAAAAAAAAGCTACAAGCAGGTGAGACTTGGGGTGGTGGAAACGCCTGTGGGATAGACTTGAGGGCAGTCGCTGGTGTTGGGTGCTAGTGGGGGGCTGGATGGGGTATTTTCTCACTCGGTTTGTTTTCTCCGCAGAGCAAGTTGAGGCATAAACTGACTGTCACGTACAGTCAGAGCAACGGGGCGTCAAGAGCACTGGAGGATGTGAGAGCCAGGCAGCAGGACGTGCGGGTGAGTGACAGGGCTCCCCGCCACCAGCCTGGCCCTGGAGCCTCCCTTCACCTCTGGGGAGGAAGGACAAGGCTCGTGTCAGGTTCACTCACAGTGTCAGAATTCAACTTCAATCTTGCAGAACATGCAAAAAGCTATGTGCCCAGAGAGATCCTTCACAGACTCAAAGCCCACCTAACAAGCCCAACCATTAAAAATTAGGGTTAAAATATAGTAATATAAAAAGTGGTTATGATTTAAGGGGGAGAAAAACAGGAAGTAATTTATTTTTTAAAATCTATTTTTTAAAAGTGTATTTGTTTCTAGGGCGACTGTAACAAGTTACTGCAGACTTGGCTTACAACAACAGAAATATGGTCTCCCACAGTTCTGGAGGCCAGAAGTCCAAATTCAAAGTGTCGACAGGGCCACGCTCTTTCCGAAGGTTCTGAGGAAGAATCCTTCCTTGCCTCTTCCGGCCTCGTGGCTCAGGCATTCCTTGGCTTGTGGCTGCATCACTCCAATCTCTGCCCCTATCTTCACATGGCTTTCTCCGTCTTCTCCTCTTTTGTCTCTAATAAGGACACTTGCTATTGGATTAGAGCTCACCTGGGTAATCCAGGATGATCTCATCTCAAGATTCCTACCCTAATTACATCTGCAAAGACTCATTTTCTAAGTAAGTTCCGAAACGTGGACATATCTTTTGGGGGGCTGCCATTCAACCCATTACAGGAAGTATAGGAAAAAAGACTGGAAGGAAATATAATAAAGGAAGAGTGCAAGTGTTGGAGTGGTAGAATTAGGGATATTTTTTTCCCTCTAGTTTTTTTACAGTTTTTATAAGGTTACAATGCTTTTATATTGAGAGAAGATTTGATTTTTAAGCATCCTGGTCTGGAGCTGCAGCATTCAGTTTTATTGCCACAGCTGTGGCTTAATTAGTTGAAATCTGGGTTAGAATACTAGCCTGTGTTGGCAGGTCTCTGAGCCTTAGTTTTGAAGCAATCACAACTTCTTTCCAGAGGTGAGTTATGAGGCTTAAATGAAAGGATGCACATGAAAATACCTGTATCAGTTGGGGGGCAGGCTAAACTGCTGTAACAGAGATACCCCTCAAAATCAGAGGTAAATAAGATAGCTGTTTATTTTGCTCCCTGTGACAGTTCAGGTGAGGAACCCAGGCTAGTGGGACCTGAGCAACCCAGGCTACTGGGATGGCTCTGCTCCATGTGATCCTTCAGAGTTCAGGATCTTCACTTTTTATTGCCCTTCCTCATCTCTTTGGTTGCAGCTGGGTCACCAATACATCTTTGCTCTAGCCTGTGAGAAGGGGGACAGGGAAGGAGAGTGTTGCCATTATCACTTTTGCTCCTGTTGGGAGCAGTTTGGTCACATGACCAAGCCCAGCTGCAGGGGATGCTGGGAAGTGTAGTCTGTGGCTGGGCAGCCACGTGCCGGTCCAAACTCCAGGGGGTGTTCTCTTACTGACGGGAGCAGAAGGAGGATGAATACTCAGGGACATTGGTAGTCACACTGGAGATGGCAGGGTAAAGTGTTGGTTAAAGAAATAATTGAATTCCCGGGACTTCCCTGGTGGTCCAGTGGTTAAGACTCCTTGCTTCCACTGCAGGGGGCACGGGTTCAATCCCCAGTCGGGGAACTAAGATCCCATATGCCGCGCGGTGTGGCCAAAAAAGAAAGAAAAAGAAATAATTGAATTCCAGTCTTCCTATCCCTCTTATGTGTGTTTCTGTCACGTTTGATTCTGAGTTATTGAGGTTTCCCAACATGTAAAGCGGAACTGCAGCTTCTAGAGCAGTGCTGTCCACTAGAAATATAAAGTGAGCCTTATACTGTATATAACTCTAATTTGAATAACACATGAAATTAATTTTAATAATATATTTTATTTAACTCAGTATATCCAAAATATTATTTTAATCAGTATAAAGTATTAATGAGATATTTCAAATTCCTTTTATTTTACACTTATAGCACATCTTAACTTGCACTAGCCGTAGTTCAAATGCTCTGTAGCTACATGTAGCAAGTAGCTATGGTATTAGATAGCGCAGTTCTAGAGGAAATTTTCTAGAGCAGCTTCATACCCTTTAAAAAATTACTCATGAACTGCTTTCCAGCTTAAGAAATAAAATATCGCCATGGAAGATGAAGCCCCTGCTTTGCTTCTCCCTTTTTATATCCCCCTTCCTCTCTTCCGGAAGTAAGCACTATCCTGAATTTATCCATTCCCATGTGTTTCCTTATACTTCTAACATGTATGTATGTATTCCTTTGGCAATAAATACTACCGTTCTGTTTGTTCCTAACCTTTATGTAAGGAGCATCATGCTGTATGTCTTCTTCTACGAGTTGTTTTTCCCTTATTACTCTTCAATATTCCATCCTGTGAATAATTTTCCGTCTTCTATTGATAGACATTCAGGTTGTTTCCAGGGTTTTGCTAATTCAAACAGTGCTGCTTAGAGCATTCTTGTGTGTCTCTTGGGCAGGTTCTGAGATTTTTTTTTCTTTATTTATTTACTTGGTTGCATGGGGTCTTAGTGGCTGCAGGTGGGCTCCTTAGTTGCGGCTCCAGGACTCCTTAGTTGTGGCTTGCCAGCTCCTTAGTTGTGGCACGTGGGCTCCTTACTTGCGGTTCGCGGGCTCCTTAGTGGTGGCATGAGAACTCTTAGTTCCAACATGCATGTGGGATCTAGTTCCCCGACCAGGGATTGAACGCAGGCCCCCTGCATTGGGAGCACAGAGTCTCATCCGCTGCGCCACCAGGGAAGTCCCCAGATTTTTTCTAGAGTATATTCCTAGACTGAGTTGCTGGGTCAAAGGGTATGAGCACCTTCAAATACACCAGATCTTGCTCTCCAAAGTGGTTGCGTCCGTTTGTATTCCCATGAGGTATAGGAAAGGGTTCCTGGCGCTCCGTGTCTCAGGCTTAGCTTTTTTGCCAGTCTGATGGCTGCCCTCTTGTTTTGGCTTCTCAGGAGGTTGCACACAGGAAGATGGACCAGCTTAGACAAGAATACATGGAAATGAAGGCTCTCATTGATGCCTCAGAGGCCAGCTCCACACGAAAGATAAAGGAAGAGGAGAAGAGAGTCAACAGCAAGTTCGACAGCATTTATCAGATCCTCCTCAAGAAGAAGAGTGAGATCCAGACCCTGAAGGAAGAGATTGAACTTGCCCTGACTAAGGGGGACGAGTATGAGTTTCTGGAGGTGGGTCAAGATGAGGACGTTGAATACTCTTTCCGCCTAGCGTCATGATGTTGACTGTAGGTGCATTGGGGCCCTCGAGGAGCTGAGGCTGTATGAGGTCATGGGAAGCATCCCTGAGACACACGCTGTGTTAGTTTTCTACATTTCGTGACAACTTACCACAGACTGAGTGGCTTAGAAGAACATCTGTCTGTTACCTCACACTTTCTGTGGCTCAGGGCATGGCTGAGGTCTCACCAGGCTACATTCCTTTTGGAGCTCAAGGTTGTCTTCCAAGCTCACACTCTTGTTGGCAGAATTCAGTCCCCTGTGGTGCAGGACTGGGGTCCCCATGTCCTTGCTGGCTGTCAGCAGGGGCCAGCCGCAGTTCCTAGAGGCTGCTGTGATTCCTCGCTGTGTGGCCCTCTTTCGAGTTGGCAGCCGGCTTCTTCAAAACCGGCGGAGAATTTCTCCCTCCCTGAAAGCCCAGTTCCTTTTTTAAGGACTTTTACCTGATTAAGTGAGGCCCACCTGGGAGAATCATCTTTTTGATTAACTCAAAACCAACAGATTTGGGATCTTAATTACATCTCAGTATTCCTTCAGTTTTCCCATGTAATGTAACCTAACCGTGGAGTAATATGCTTTCATACTCAGCGTCATGCTCATACTCAGGAGGAGTGGATGTGTAGGATGTGTACCCGGGGCAGGCAGGAGTCTTGGGGGCCATCCTAGCATACTGCCTACTGCATAGGCCTCCACCACTTCCCTCCATCCTGCCTCTGCACAGCCCCTGGAAGTGTCTCTCTAAAGCACAGGCACCACTCCCCGCCCTTTCTGACTTCACATTCCCACAGGGCCTCGGTGACCAGCCTGCCTTTGCCAGCCACCCCCTGCCCATGCCCTTGTGCTCCACCTACAGCAGAGTACTCCTCAGATGCACCGGGCATTGGGAGGGAACGCCGTGTCTGGCCTCTGCCTAGTAAACCCTGTCCTTTGTCCAGGGCAACCCCAGTTCCCCCATCTTCCTCAGATCCCGTTATTCTGCCATTGCCGGTGATCTGGAGCATGTTACCTGCCTCTGCTCTTGCCCTCGACAACGTTGTTTTAGATGTGCTTGTTTTCATGTCTGTTTAAAAGGCTGTCAGGGGACTTCCCTGGTGGTCCAGTGGTTAAGACTCCGTGCTCCCAACACAGGGGGTGTGGGTTCAATCCCTGGCCAGGGAACTAAGATCCCCCATGCCACACAGCGTGGCCAAAAAAAAAACGCTGTCAGCTCTCTTTTCGGGCGGGGCCCTTCATCCTCCTGGCATGTCCAGTGCACGGCAGAGTGTCTGGCACGCGGCCGATGTTCTGCGGAGGCCCATTGATTGGGTGACGTGCTGCTTTGACACGTCAAAGGCCCAGATTCCATGTTCAGGTCCTGAGGAGGGATAGGAGTGCCTGGCAATCTTCTCTTCTCTGTTCGGGATCTTCTAGCCACACCTAGGCCGGATGGCATTAAGTTTCATCTCACGTGCTCATCCCTGTTTGTTGACCTAGCCGCCTTGAGCTCTCACAGAAGGATTCTTAGTCCACATCTGGCCCTCTTGATACTGTGTGACATGATTTGGTCTCCAGGTTTGGAACCTTCTGTAAGATCCGTCTTTTTCGTTGGATATGTGGCTGAGTCCTGCAGCCTTCCAGGCATTCCTGTCTATTTTCAGGACATGTGTCAGAGCTGGTCCTGGCGGGATGGAGATGGTGACGAGTCTCCTATATTTCTTCAGCCCCAGCTGGAGGGGTGGGAAGAGCCTGATCTGTGGGCGTCAGGAGATCTGGGTCCCAGCTTTGTCCCTGCCACTAATTGGCAGAGGTCCTGGCAAGACACTTGTCACTTTTGACTTCAGTTTTCCCGTTTGTAAGGTGAGGGACCTTCCAGCTGCAGATCGCTGTGTCTTGAAGTGGCACTTTAACCCCCAGTGACCTCTGGCTCTAATTTGAGAGGCTGATTAGACTTAGTGCCCATGGGCACAGGGAAGCTCCTTCTGGGGTTCATGAGGCCTGAGCCCAGGCCCTGGCTTCACCAGAGCGGCCTGAACTAAGCCCCTGGCTTGTTGCAGAAAGCGGCAAAACTGCAAGGAATCACAACGAAGCCAGTCTACGTCCCCAAGGTGGAGCTGAACCACGAGCTGATAAAGGGTGTCTGTCAGGGCACCTCTGAGCTCAAAAATGAGCTGAAGCAGTACCTCAGACAGCTCCAGGACAAGAAGCCTGAGGAGCTCATCATCCCAGGTAACTATTAGCAACCTCCTGTGCCTTCCACTGGGACCCCTGAAATGGGATGTGTCCTCTCAGTGTTTTGGGGTGGGAGAGAAATCTTGATCTGGAGCATTGGGGCTTGAGTTTCAGGGGTTATAAAACATCTGCCCTCCATCTAGTAGGTAGTGGGGAGTTTTTGCCTCATCCTGAGATTGTAGCTGTCCTTCCTAAAATATTTTTGGGGGCTGGATGTTATGAAGGGTCTTTCTAGATAGGCTTCTTTTTGTGAGTCTGAGGTTGGCTCAGATGGGTTGAATGGATTCTGGGTTGTCAGTGTTATTTGGTAGGGAAGTGGCTAGTTTGGGGGTCAGAGAAACATGGAATTCCTCCTTGATACCCCCTGCCCTTCCACTTATATCCAACCCATTGTCGGATTTTGCTTCTTAAATATCTCCTGATTCAGTCAGCTGATTTCACTGCCAGCCTCCATTCACCTGCTCTCCATTGCAATCACCTGTGGCAGCTTCCTAATGAGTCCCTCTGCATCCACTCCTGTTGCAGCTGGAGAGAGCTTTTCAGGATGCAAATCTGATTTCTTGGCACCTTCTCCCCTGCCTCCTGTTCAGAGACTTTCCATTGCTTTTAGATTGCAGACCAGACTCTTGACCCTGGCTGTCAACCCCTGCCTGGTCAGGCCCCGTCTGTCTCTTTAGCCCTGAAGTTACCCCCTCCTCCCATACATCCCTCTGCACTCTACAATTCTTCAAATATGTTAAGCTTAAAAAAAAAAGAAAAAAAAGTGAAGCTTCCTGCCACAGGGCCTTTGTACATGCTCCCCCACAGCCTAGAGGGCTCAGACTCCAACATCTTCACCAGGTGACTCCTGTCACCCTTCAGAGATCAGTTGAAACATTACATTTCTCAGCAAACCTCCCCTGTTGCCACTCTTGCTCCTCAGACCAGGTTGCCGGGTCCTCATCATCCCGTGGGGCCCTTAGTGCACCTGTCATTTTCCTCTTCCTTGCCATTCCCGTGTGTCTCCCCCACCACACTGTGATCAGTGAGGGCAGGGGCTGGGTCTGTTTTCATCCAACACTCTCCCCAGCGCCTGGCACAGAGGGGAAAGCTATTGATGAATTAGCCCTGCATATTTGTTTTCCTGCTATGTCAGTGATCACTGGTCTGGGGACGGAGGGGTGAGAGGAACCAGAGGGAAAGGAGCTACCACGACATGCCAGACATCTTGATCTCACCACCACGAGCGAGGGGAGTCATCCCCGTCATACGTCGGAAGAAACCAAAGCTCACAGACGGTTCAGAGGTCATGGAGCTGGGTGCTGGTGGAGGAAAGACTCCACCCTGGCTGTATTTTAAGGCAGAGAAAAGAGGGAACACACCAAATTTGTCTTTCAGTTATCTTGTTTCTAGTGCTTGTAAATGATCAGATGGGGAAGGTCAGTGGAAATCAACTTTGTAAGCCCTCTCCCTGCCTGCTGACGGCGGGGCTGGCTTCTAGGCTTGGTTTGGAAGAGCCGCATAGACTACCCTCTTCTCTGGCACAGGGGGCCCTGGAGGACATGACCTGCCGCACATGCCGAAACCCTCACGGCCTATGAAGAAGATCCCAAGTAAGTAAAGTAACCCCACCTCTGTCCCTGGGGCAGCAGCGACTGTGGCAGGTGGTGCTCGGGCTGAGGCACTGGCAGGCGTCACGGCTCCTTTCAGTGAGGCGCAGCCCATCCCTGGCTCCGCGGGGCCCGGGCGCACCTGGAGGCAAGTGCTGCCTGACCCCACTGAGGGGAGGTGGCAGGACTGTTGCAGGAGCCCTGCTGGGGCACGCGGGAGGACCGGCCATCAGCACTGGATATTCTGACTGCCTGGAAGAGCAAGATGACCGAAGCTGGCTTGTCTTGAGAAATACTTACGATGCCCGAGTTCTGGCATTTGGGGTGACCCCCTGAGCAGAGGCTGAGCCTCACCGTAGCCCAGTGCCGTTCAGCCTCGGGTTGGGATGTGTTTCTGCCATCACAGAGCTCTTCAGCCTTTATTCTGTGTTGCCCTCCTTTGCTCTTACCTCTCAGGCCCTTTTAGACATTTTTTTCCTAATCACCCCCATCCAGGAAATGTTAATACCACACATATGATATATCTGTTTATATACTGTGCTTTTATACATAAAAAGAACAAGTTTTTTCCATCCTTCTCTCCCCCTCACCTCCTAAGAATCAATTTTTGCTCCCCCTTGGGAGTGGGAAATCACCCTTGTTGAGATGGGGCTGGGGTGAAGAATGGTCCTCAGTTTCCTCATCTATCAAATTTGGACCATAATGATGTCCACCTCATGGGATTATTGTGTGAGGTTCACATGGGACACTGATGGTGAAAGCTCTTTAAAGGACGGGCATATGTCACCGAACTGTTGGCCAAAAAGTCAGTGAGGACGGAGGAGGGCTGCCCCCCATTGGGTGGTTGGGATGAGAGAACTCCGGGCTGGTTTTTGTTGTTGTTTGCTTGGTGTTAGTGTTTAGTGGTTGTCTTTGGCAGACAACTGTGTGGTACCAGTTCCTGAGTGGAATGGGGTCGGGGACTGGGATGCCCGGGACAGGTGAGGAGGGAGCCATCAGCGGAGCCTGAAAACGTGGAAGGGCACCTTGTGTGAAGGGGGAGGTCCTGTAAACCTGTGGCCTTCTCAAGGCACAGCCCCTGAAAGCCTCCTTCCCGCTGCCCCACTTCGTAAGCCCCATTCTTCACGTGAGTGAGCTGTGGTGGGGGCTGAGGTGGGGAAACACGCAAGGAAAGGGTAGGCTCATCACTGTGGATGAGGCTCCTAAGAATTGTGATGACTGGGGAGGGGGCCCTTTGCCTGAGGCCAAGGTCATAGTCCGGGGTCCTGCCAAGATGCTGGTCCAGGGGCAGTGGGCAGGAGAGGAGCAGGGGGGAGATGGGAAGAGTGAGAACGACTCCCGAGAAATACGGCTGTGAAGCGGGAGGAACGGGGAGCCAGTGGGGCATGTGGGACCAGGGAGGGTCTGGTGGGGAGGGAGCAGGGCTGGTCTGGAATGTACAGGATCCTGCAGGCAGGCAGGGATGAGATCCAAAACCCCCCTTGTCATTTCAGTGGTGGGGAAGGTGGCAGAAAGGGAACCTGAAATCTAGCCTGCTCAAACTTGAGCCCTCATCACAACCCCAGGGGCTTGTAACAGACAGACTTCCGAGCCCCACCCCCAGACTCTCAGTCTCAGCTGGTCTGGGTGGGTCTGAGAATTTGCATCCCTACAGCTTCCCAGGTGATGCTGATGCTACTGGTTTGGGGACCACACTTTGCGGACGGGTGTTTTAGCTAAACTCAGTTCCCACAGGCACACACTCGGGACACTTTCTAAAGACTATCGTGATACTTGGCAAGCACATTTTTTTGGCTGGCTCCCTATGTGGGTCTTTTTTTGTGTTTGTTTTTGCATTTTTTCTTCTGTGGAGATATAATTTAATACTACAGTAAAATGCCCACATCTTAAAAGTACAGTTAGATTAATTTTGACAAATGCATACATCTGTGTTACCATTACCCAAATCAGGGTAAAGATTTCCATTATTCTAGGAAATTCGTTCGTGCCGCTTATTAGTGAGCACCCTCCCTACCAAAACCATGATTCAGGTTTCTATCACCGTAGATTAATTTGCCTGTTGACCCCTTATATTTTTCAGGTTTAAAACATCCTAGCTTTATTTGTATGGGTCACATTAGTGCATTGATTGTTATTATTGTGTTTTGAAAGTGTCACTGTGTTTAAAATATGTTAATTCTGAAAATTTTCTTTTTCAGAAGAAGAAAAGAAACCCAAGAAACCTTGTAAGTTACGCCTTTCTGCATCTTTTTGTTTCTTGAGTGCCTGAGTGTAGAGCTAAATGCCAGCAGGGAAAGCTGAGCCATGGGCTTCGGGGGTCTGGGCTCGTGACTGTGTCCCGTGCTGGCAGCCAGGCCTGGGCCTGGAGGTGGCAAGTGTAAATGCGTAAGACCAACAGGATGAGTGTTGCCCTGTCCGGACTCATTGGTGTCGCCGTGGCTGTCCAGGTGTGTGTTTGTGGAAGCGGCTCTTGAGAATCAGTGTGGCAGGGAGTACAGGCCATCAGGTCACCCTGTCATGTCCCCAACTCATGTGTCTCCTCCCTCAGCCCCAGTCATTGTCTCAGCCAGTAAGCTTCCCACCTTTGGAGCCCCAGAACATTTAGTGGATCTCAAACAAACTGGCCAGGAGGGTGAGTTCCGGTGGGCCAGGGGCAGTGGGCTGCCCACTCTGAGTTTGTTCTGAAAACACCTCTCTCTTCTTCATCCAGCTGAGGCCAAAGTCCCCACCGGACCGTCGACCCCGGTGTCTCTCAAGGCCAAGGTGCTGGAGACCTTCCTAGCCAAGTCCAGGCCTGAGCTCCTGGAGTGTGAGTAGCTGCTGGCTTGCTTACCCTTGCCTCTGTCTAGCTTGGTCAGCCTCTCCCCTAGAGGACCCACTGTGCTCTACTCTGTCACATCCTTACCTGCTCCCCTCTGGCTTCCAGCCTGGAAGTGGTGGGAGTTCCTTCCTCCAGGCCAGCCTAGGGGCCACCCGCCCATAGCTTCACCCACAGAGCACCCTCCACTAGTGCTCACTTCCACGCAGTGGCCATAACCTCCCTCTGCAAAGTGCGCTCTGGCCCTCCTTTGCCCACAGCCACAGCAGGCTTGGTGGGGAGCAGTGGATGCCCGGTTCTCAGGCCGGCGCCCGAGAACCTCCCCCCACCGCCCCCCATTTGTGGAGCCCCCTGCGCTCTGTGATACAGCCGTGTAAGCAGAGGAAGTGAGTTCCAGGAACTTAGGATCTTAGAGGACATTTTCCCAGGCCATTCATTTTGCCCTGGCGGAAAACCAGTGCAAAGTATCCTTCCCTGAGCCCCTGAGCCAGGGAGTGGCAGATAACCCCAGTCCTGAATTCCCAAGCTAGGGATTGTCCTCTCTGCCTGCTGTCTCCCACTGGTCCAGGGTTCCCTGTGAGCAGAGGGGCAGAGATGGGTGTGTCCTGGGGAGGAGGTAGAGGGTGGAGACATCACTCATCTCCGCTCAGTCTTCGGACTTGCCAGAACTGGCTGGAAGTGTGCAGGAAGGGCGGGGAGGCCATGCTCCTGTCCCAACCAAGGAGTATATTCAGGTCATGGGTGACCTTGATTGGTTCCCCGTTGCAGCCGATTAAAGTCTAGGCCGCTTAGCTCTCTACTCGTGGCTCCATGTGCCCCGCTCCTCCTGCTGTGGCCTCTGTGCTCCCAGCTGCCCGGCCTTCCCTGGTCCCAGCGCCTGTCCACCGTCCTCGTGACTCCACGTGTGCCTTCACTGTCCCCTCTGCCGAGCATAGCCTTTCCCCCTCCTCCCCTCTCCTCTGTTTAATTCTCCTCTTCCTGTCGCTCAGCTCCGATTCTAGGCCGCCTGTGACGTGCTCCCCTGCGCTCTCCCCACCCTTTAGCCGTTGCCCCGTGGCTGTGTCCCTCCAGCCGTGTGCCTGCCCTTTAGCAGAGCGCAGGGCCCATAGTGTTGTCATTACTGACGGGCTTGCCTTGCTTGTGGGAGTGTGAACTCCACGAGGCCGGGCACCGTGTCTGGTTCTGTGTACATCCTGCATAGAATCTGGCATAAGCCAGGGGCTCAATAAATGGTTTCAGATGGAGGAATAGACAGAGAGATGGGTGACTAATAGATGCACAGATGGCTGGATTCATGGATAGAGAGATGGACAAATGTCCACCTGGCTAGACAGAATGGATGGGTGGAGGGATGGATGGATGAAACAAATGAATAAATATGACCAGTTAGGAAAAGGATTGGAAGTGAGAGCACTTTGGGCTCCTTGTAATTGACTCCTTGGTGCTCCCTTAGATACCGTTAAAGTCATCCTGGACTACAACACTGCCCACAACAAGGTGGCTCTGTCCGAGAACTGCACCATAGCTTCTGTGGCTGACACACCCCAAAACTACCGACCACATCCCCAGAGGTTCACATACTGCTCTCAGGTGTTGGGCCTGCACTACTACAAGAAAGGGATCCACTACTGGGAGGTGGAGCTTCAGAAGAACAACTTCTGTGGGGTGGGCGTCTGCTATGGCAGCATGGAACGGCAGGGCCCCGAGAGCCGGCTTGGCCGCAACAGTGCCTCTTGGTGCGTGGAGTGGTTCAATACCAAGATCTCTGCCTGGCACAACAACGTGGAGAAAACCCTGCCCTCCACAAAGGCCTCGCGAGTGGGCGTGCTTCTCAACTGCGACCATGGCTTTGTCATCTTCTTCGCCGTGGCTGACAAGGTCCACTTGTTGTATAAGTACAAGGTGGACTTTGCTGAAGCTTTGTACCCGGCCTTCTGGCTGTTCTCCACAGGGGCCACGCTCTCCGTCTGCCCCTCCAAGTAGGCGGGCTGTGGACGCTTGGCCTGACTGCCTGCGCGGTGCCCGGGACTCTAGTGAAAATGCTGTAGGTGGAGCTCTCGGGGAGGCTCCTGAGAGTCCCCAAGGGCTGAAAGGATGGGAGGGGAGCTGGTGAGGGTGGGAGGATAGGGAGATGGGATAAGAGGATGGGTTTGGCCAGGGAAAGGGATGGGGTGATTGTGTTATGGGTGAGGAAGCCTTTCTGCTTTCCGGTGCCCATCAGGCAGGATGACCCCCTCCCCTTGTTCTGGTAGATCTCCAGGCTGCCCGGTGGCCGGGTGGGGCTTTGCGGAGTGAAGTCCTTAGTGCCCCTCTGCTCTTGGACGTAATCTATAGCCACTGTGGGTTCTTCCTTAGGCCTCTGGTGTCTGCCTCTCTGCTGTCTGGGGTGGCCTTCAAATCTTGGGAGTTTTGATGATTCTCTGCAGAGCTACTTAACTCTATAGATTTTTAAAAAAAATTCCAAAGTCGTTGAATTTCATTATTACCCTCCGCTACCTACACGTGGGAGTTGGGGTGAATGCTCAGACTTCTCGTTATTTTCTGTGCTCGAGGGAAGCTGTGCACAACAGGTCTCCACCCAGACCAGAGTTTCCCGAAGAAGTCTGTCCTTTTCCTCCACTGTTTCCCTTTCTGTCTTGGACCTCAACACCCCATCCATGGTTTTAAAATGTTTAGTCCAATAGGAACCTTTTCAGTCTAAGATTTCAAACCACAATCTGAATCAGCCCGTTTTGGATTTGTGACTCAGGGTCAAGGTGACCCAGGTCCCATGTGGCTAGAAACCCCTCCCACTCTCATGTATTACGAAAGGCATCTCAGCAGAGATGCCTTGGTTGCAACTACGGAGCCTCCTTCCCCTAGCCCAGGCTTTGGGGCAAGGCTCTTCACCAGGCAAGAGGGACCCTGACTGCATTCACAGTTGGAGGTTTTGTTCTGATTGGAGCATCTTGCCTTCTTACTGATCACCCTCCTCAGTGATAGCCTCTGTTCCCCAGGATTGTGAGATCCTGCACTGGCTGGTGGAGATGCCACCGTGGCCAGCACAGTTGAACGTTCAGCTAAGCCCGCTGTCAGGCAGACAGGCCGGGTGTGGCTACCTCAGGGACCAGACTAGGTCACCTGCTGGGCTGACTACCTATGGCCAGAAGGGCCTTCTGGCAGATCCATGGGGAACAGCAACATTCCTGTTCAACCCAGCACTGGTCCTTGTGTGAGTTAGAGGCCTGTCACCGGCCCTAGCCCTTTCTACTTTCCTCCTCGTTTGAGCCAATTCCAGGTGTGGGAATTGACCAGGCAAAGGGTCAGGAAGACTTAAGGACCAGGGAGGAAAGAAGCTGCCAGGCTTAAGCACAAGGGGCTATCTTTCCTGCAGTGTTTCTGTGCAGTGAAAATAATCCCAGTCCACTCAGGGCGGGAGTGAATGGATTGCTGGAATTTCCCAAGCTCCTTATATCCTGACATTGTCAGGATGTAAGTTCTGATCCCCAAAGTGAGAGAAATGTAACCTCTTGGGGTGAAATGTGTCCCGCTCTGGGTTTTCCCAAGAGGAGAGCTGAGGTCAGGCTCCTTGTGGTATGAAAAGGATAATACCACTGGAGACAGGGACCCCAGGCCTTTCCATGTGGATGTTTTGACAAGTTAGCGCTTCTGGAGCCTTGCGCTGGGCCCCCAGGGCACTCTAGGCAGGCCCAGAGCACTTGATATTTCTGACAGATGTGTTCCTCTGTGTCACCTCCCAACAAGAACTTCCACTTCCTTGGGAGAGAAATCATCTTTGTAGGGAAGATCCCCCTGCAGTAGCTGAAATGTGGTTTTTAAAAGTTTTCTTTCTTTGCTCATGGGAAGAAAAGTTCTTTGTTGACTCTTCTCTGCTTTTGGTGATGGTCCAAAGCGTCTTCATTGATCTCCTGAAACAAAAGCCTTGTTTGAAGCCAGTTTATACTCGGGAAACAGCTGGGTTTAGAGGAGAATGCCGAAGATTAAACCATGGGTCCTGCTTGGGCTCTTCCTCAGAAATGAGGGCAGCCAAGAGGGCTGTTGCCTGATGACCGATCATCCAGCTCAGGAAAGGGAAGCATGAGCCCCTCTGTTGATGAGAGGCAAGCAGGTAACCCAAGGTGAGCCCTGTGTGGGTTCTTTGCGTGAACTGAGGGGCATTCCGAACCATTCTGTTTCCAGTGGTGAGACTTTACGTCCCCTCCCTTGCCTTGCGGGGCCGGTGCCCGACACTAGAGTCCTAGAGTTGGGGGAAACTTCGTGTTCATCTGACTTCCCGTTTTGCAAAGTGAGTCAGATGGGGAGGTATTGGATGACTCCACTCACCGCTCTTGACATCCCATTATGGAGGAGGTGCCTCCTTAGATGCCCCTGGTACCCTGGGGGAAGGGTCAGAACTTCCCAGATACCCAGACATAAAAACACTCTCCCGACCTAGGTATCGGGGGCTGTCTCAGTCACTCTGGTGTGATAAACGAAAGGTCAGGGTCAAGTGTTTGTTATTATTCAAGGGCTGATTGATTGGTTCTCCTGTTAAAATTACTCCGAAATGGGTCTGTGATCTATACCTAATACTGATACATTATTTCTTACCTTATTCTGCCCTACTGTATTGATTTTAAATAATTAGGAGTATTTAAGCTTATATTCTTGAGCTTATATTTTTAAGAGTTGATTCTTTCAGAGATAATAAGGGCTGTGGACACAGATCTTCTGAAACCCACGAGAAATACCAGAGCCAAGGCCCGCTGACATGCCTTAGAAGCTCTGAATGCAATAAAGCTGTGTGTGGAATTGTTTCACACATTGCAGTGTGTGTAGAAAGTGTTACTTACCTGTCATGCTGGAGTCAGCAAATGAGGTGTCCAAGGGCCTCTGGCTGCCCCCAACCCAGATGCCTGGGGGCTGAGATTTCAGCAGAACTATAGCCCATTTGAGGCTGCCATGGGTGTGTGGCAGCCACTCAGGAAGCTTTTGATGCAGAAATCTCAGCCAGATAAGATGTCCTTCTGGGCTTTGCATCAGGATGGGGGTGGGGAGGAAGGGGAGGGGTATGAGTGAAAAGGTAAATAAACCACAGTGGGGTAATCTGGGAAACAGTGATGGAAGTGGGAGGGTTCATTGTATTATGCCTTCTATTGTTACCTCTGTTTGAAAATTTCTATAATAAAAAGATTAAAAAATGAAACAAAAACCAGCCAGCAATGGGCCCTGTTCACGGATTTTATCCTCGTTTGAAGAGAGGTAGGAGTTGTGGTTGGTGTGGATTTGAGGTTGTTGAATAATAATTTGCCTGGCTGTTGTCTCTTGTTCCTGGTGGGGAGATACTAAATCCTTGGAATTTCCCCAGTAATAGGAGCGTCCTTATTATTCATGAGCCCCTTGGATCACACCTGAATTTATGCTAAGAAGTGAGATGACCCAGGATCGGGGCTGGTCGGCAGAGAGACCAGGCGTGAGATTAGAGGGTTGGTCTCCTTGAGCCAGCCTCACCCCCAGGAGGGGAGAGGGGCTGGAAATCGAGTTGAAATATGTGGCCAGTGATTCAATCAGTCGTGCCTGATAAAAGCTGGGCACCCCGAAGATCTGAAACAGGAGGGAAGGGGGCAGGGCACAACCTTTGAAAGAGTGACATAGCCCGAGGACATGACATAAACTGATTAGAAGCAAATGAGTCCAAGCTGGAGGACAAGTCGACTTCCACTAGACCTTGAGCCTCAGTATACACTCTTCTTTTTAAATGTATTTATTTTATTTATTTTTATTTTTGGCTGTGTTGGGTCTTTGTTGCTGCATGCGTGCTTTCTCTAGTTGCGGCGAGCGGGGGCTACTCTTCATTGTGGTGCGTGGGCTTCTCATTGTGGTGGCTTCTCTTGTTGTGTAGCATGGGCTCTAGGTGCATGGGCTTCAGTAGTTGTGGCACGTGGGCTCAGTAGCTGTGGCTCATGGGCTCTAGAACTCAGGCTCAGTAGTTGTGGCGCACGGGCTTAGTTGCTGCGTGGCATGTGGGATCTTCCTGGACCAGGGCTCGAACCCATGTCCCCTGCATTGGCAGGCGGATTCTTAACCACTGCGCCACGAGGGAAGCCCAGTATACGCTCTTTGTAACACATCAGCAAGCTAAATGACACAGCCACAGGCACCATGACAGTTCCAAGGCCGACCATAAGGATCAAAAAGTGGGCGGTGGCCCAATTCCTGGAAATCCCCACCCCTTCCTGAAGTAGCTGGAATACTCCTCCCACTCATTAGCCTATGAAATCACCCACCCCTATAAAAACTGAGAACCCCATACCCTGGGGCTGCTCTCAGCTTCTGAGATGGCCCACACTCTGTCTGTGTAGTGTGTTTTTTCTAAATAAATCCACTTCTTACCTATCACTTTGTCTCTCACTGAATTCTTTCTGCCGTGAGACATCAAGAACCTGAGCTTCATTAAGTCCTGAAACCAAGTGTGTGATCTCAGTTGGAAGACCGTGGGTTTTGGCTGGGTTTGAGTCCCGGCATGTGGATTCAAGTCCCAATCTGAGGTGCATGGTTTCAGCTCCACTGAACACCCCGATTCCACAGGGAGAGGGACAGGAGCTCGAGTAACACTTACAGTGAAGCTGAGGGAGGTCATGTGCTATAGACCGGAGGTTGGTGCTGCCGCCCAATTCATATGTTGAAACCTCACCCCCAGTGTGGTGGTATTGGAGGTGATTAGAGGGTGGCGCCCTCATGAATGGGGTTAGTGCCCTTATACGTGAGACCCCAGAGAGCTCCCTCACCCCTTCTGTCGTGTGAGGACACAGCAAGGAGACAGCTGTCTATCAACAAGGAAGCAGTTCCTTACCAGACACTGAATCTGCCAGCGCCTGCTTCTTGGACTTCAGCCTTCAGAGCTGTGAGAAATAAGTGCTTTTGTTCAAGCCACCCAGTTTATGGCATTTTTGTTATAGCAGACCAGACTAAGCCTTCTGGGTGTGTGTGTAGCAAGTTGGTCA